CCTGCTGAGTTATTATGTGGCCAGAATTCCTCTTTGTTACTGCTTGTTAATTGAGGTGTCTCAACAAGATGAAGAACACCAGGGAAGAGCCAAGTGTAAGGGAAAAATGCTAGAGATGGAAAAAAACAGTAGGTTCATATTCTTTTTATTGGTGGGTTAAGCAGAATGTTTTAGAATACTTAAATTTCCCCTGTACACAAAAAATTTTGCAACGAGAGTAATACCTCATTGTACCATTTAAATAATGTTGCATAGCTTACTTTATTTTGTGGTCGTGATTTATTTTCAGGAACTTGGAAACCTGGAAAAACTTTACAATTCTTTTGGCTTTATTTTAGAGAGGGGGAAACGTTCAGGTCCACAGACACACTTGAAGCTGAACTCACTTTTTAGATACGAATGACATCCTAGTTCTATCCCAGTCCATATTCTTTTCTGAAATAGCTGAGCTGAATCCTATTTGGACCAAATTTTAATGGAATAGAGAGTCCTCATTACATTGAAGATAAGAATCTTAAATATTCTGAATAGAATCATTTGTGAGTCTCTGAACAAGTGGTCAAGTGGTCTCTATATGTGTCAGGATGAGATCAGTTTGTTATCTAGAACAACAGAGGACAAGTTCATTAGTAAGTACAAAAAAAAATTACCTTGAAAGTAAATTGCTCGTTGAAGACAGGATTAAGGGTCTTTCGGTGGACTTTGGTCTCAAATTTCTTCTTTTTATCTGGCAGCAGAAACACCTTCACATAGGGATCAGATGTGCCCCCCATGTCTAAGGCGGGCAGCTCGGCAGCTTGGATGATTCCTACCAGCAGCTGAAATGAGAGGCAGGATACAGCAAACACTGGCATTGGTGGACATGTTGGAAAAGATTGATGTGTTCACACTGCTGCACATTGTGATTTTTCCCTTTTGTTCTTTGCTTTTAATAAACTTTTATTCTCTTCTGAATCTGAGCACAGAAGGCAAATGAAGTGAGCTACATAGATTTCAGAAACCCAATTATGACAGATGCAGGCTCTAGGAAGCCTGGTTTTAAACACAAAAGAGGCTTTTAAAAGGTTGCTGATTACAGTTAAATATGGAATTCATGTTTGCAAAAGGGTTGCAATCAAATAACTTTCCAGTTCCTAAAAGCCCTTGTGCATTATTTTTCTTTCCAGGGCATGATTTGTAAGTGGAAAGAAATTGTTAAACAATCACAAGCTTGTAATTATAAAGTAGGAAATTCTTATTTTGAACCAAAGCCCCAGAGCAGCTAAATAGAAATTTCCTTAGAATTTGGTAGCTTTTTGAGATAAAAATAAGATTTTCAAGTTTCTATCATATTTGACCTTTACTTGTGTGCTGGCTCCTTCTTGTTTTAACTTAGAGTAAAATGATTATCGTATATTAAATTCTGTGTTAAATATAGGACATGGGGTCAAAGAAATATAATTTTAGCTTCATATAAAGGAAGGGGAGATTACAGTTATTGTTTTTAATGCTAAGTGACTAAGTTTCTGATATTTTTCAAGTACAGCAGAAATCTCTGCATTTCTTCACGTCTGGTTTTCTCAGTGATACATTCCTATCTCTTATTATGAATGCGGGTATTGGCTGGCACTGATAATGTTTTTGCAAAGGAAACAGAAGGTGTGAGCAGACTCTTCTGATGCCCTGCCATCAGACATGCTGTGTCAACAGACTGGTTTAGATCCATATGGGAAACAAAAGTAGACTCCCTTATTGTTATTCAATGTATATACCCTTCAGAAAATGCAGTCACATCATAGCTGTTCACATCAGGGTCTGAAATGTTGAGTCTGTACCTTTTTCACCAATAGAGTGGAAAAGCAAGTCACCTCCTTGAAAGAGTCACATCCACTTTCTACAAAATGGACCCACCATGTGCATAAGTGCACTTTGGCTAGTTGGCTCAATTTTTAACCTAGACCAATACCCTTAAAGATTGTTGTTTCCATCTTAATGCTTCAAGATCTTTGTGACTTCATCATACAACAATAGCAATAAGAAAGCTGGATTGTAGGTATACAAAACGTAGACAGGTGGTCAAAGAATGGTTAAAATAGACATCCGCTTATAAAGACATGATTAGTAAAGCAAACAGTTCGTCTCTTGGTTTGCCAAGTTGGTATTTGGAATTTGCCTTTGGATAGCAATGTGAATAAGCAAGATTATTTTCTCTCCTCACTTTTTGTAATACTTTTTCTTTGGGGCAGGGAAAGCACTAGTGATATAGCCTAAACTCTTTCAAACTTGATCATCTGTACTTTAAAGATTTGGGGGTATCTTGTTGATAGAGGTGGAATTACTTCTCCCAACCCCCCTCTGACGTCTGCTTGAGAGATCAGTATCACATTTCTCTCCACCATGAAAGGTTCTTAGAGGACTTTTAGGATTGTCTTTTAGTTTTGGTAAGCAGGTGTGTATATTTGATTACAGCCTTATCTACGAAATTCCCCCGACTTTATCTTCCGTGACTCATAGGAATCATTTTATAAATCAGATTAGTGGAGAACGTTTGGAAAAATAAATGCATACTATTAAAACAATTTGTCAGGTAGAATACCCTAGATCCTCTGAATGAAATACCTTCTAAAATGGGTTTGCTAGAAAAGGAAGAGTAAACGCATTCGAATTATATTTGAGTAAAAAAAATTCAGTGCTGTATTCTTAAAAATACTACCTTATAAAATGTTACTTAGAGTACTCAAAGCCAACATAGAAGTTTGACTTCTGACTAACCAAGATGAGATCCACTAGATTTCTACTGGAAAATATGAAAGTAGAATAAATTAGTAGAAAATTGTTGGCTACATATATAAAGGCAGGTTATATTTCTGGAAAAGATGTTTTGTGTTAAGGTAATGTAAGTTGACCTTGACCTTCTCTAGAATACATAAATAATAGGCAGTTTTGCTCTCAACCAATCCCTAATGATCAAATTTTGGTAGAAGCAATAAAAATGACCTCAAATGCCCTATTTAATTAACTAGAAATGGTATACCTATAATTCTGTATAAATCCATAACCTATTGGCTTGTATCTATAACCAACATGCAGTTTTCTGGAACGTATTATAAAATAATGAGCCAGGGCTGTAATGAAGCTAACTAAATACAATTATTTATTATATGGTGGTGCGTATCAATATGTTCTTTTTGAGGAACCCTCTGGACACTTCCAAAAGTGAAGACATTATTTGAACAGTCAATTCCTAAATAAAGTCCAGAATTGCTGCCATTGTTTAGAGCTCACAGTATTACTGACTTTGGACATAAGTCACCAAAGCTGAGTACTGGTGTTTGATTTATTTATTGTTTATTCCTCATCAAACTAGACATAATTAACACGTGCTGCATTAGATAGTAACTGTATTTACATCTATCAAGTTCTTCCCCACCCCGAAAGGTCAGTGAACTGATCAAACTGGAGAGATTTAAAGCTCTCCTAGTCGGAAAAGAACTGTGCCTTATAGATTTTTAAGAGCCTGATCTCTAACTCAGTTAATTCTTTTTTTTTTTTTTTTTTTTTTTTGTGGTACGTGGGCCTCTCACTGTTGTGGCCTCTCCCGCTGCGGAGCACAGGCTCCAGAGGCGCAGGCTCAGCGGCCATGGCTCACGGGCCCAGCCGCTCTGCGGCTTGTGGGATCTTACCGGACTGGGGCACAAACCCGTGTCCCCTGCATTGGCAGGCGGACTCTCAACCACTGCGCCACCAGGGAAGCCCCTAGAAGGTCTTTTTAGGTAGAGTTTTTTTTTTTTTTTTTTTTTTTTTAACATTTATCTTTGAGCTACCATTATAACAGGCAGTGAATAAAAGCCAGCTAGTATTATCATTCATCTAGGTGGCACTTCACGGCTTTTAAAGCAAGAAGGACTGTTTTGATACAACCTTTAGATCCTTGTCACTTTTCCGGAAGCAGGGCAGCATGCAAAGGCATTAGAAATCAAGTTGATGGTCTTTCTACTTTTCTAGAGCTGTTAACTCATTTGTGCTAGGAGGTTTAGCCAGTATCATATTATATAAGGCATTCTTGCCATTGAAATTCATGGAAAGTCAATTTTTTAATCTTTGATTCCTCATCAAATGGTTAATTTTTGTTTGAAGACTTTGGCTTAATTGGTGGTCTAACTCAAAGGTCCCTTGCCCTGTTTGGAGCTAAATCCATGAATTCCAAGGAAGATTGTTGTAGCTCAGCCTGAGGGATCTGTGACTGGGAGCTCTCAGAATCAGACTGATGGCTTCAAGTTAATTTGTATTCTGCCTGCCTGCTGTAAGTGCCATAAGTAGATGTAATCGGCTGAACACTGTGGATTCTAATTACCAGAAGTTAAATTAGCAAGTAGGGGACCGCCTGTACATAGAAATGATTTCATCAATAGCTTTGATAATTGCATTTTCCCCTCGTAGCAAACCAAATGTTTTAAGAAGTATCTTGTTTCAATTTCTAGTTGGTAATTTCAGAAAACGTAATGGAATTACAAGACATTTTCCCCCTCAGACCTGGTTATTCTGGAAATCATAATCCAGTGAATATTGAAGTTTTCCCAATTTCTCCTCTTCTTTGGGTTCTTCTTTTTCTTCCCCATCAGTCAATCCAGTTTCAGCATCATCATCCTTCAGGGCCTATGAGTAGGGAAGTGGGTTATATGTGAATTCAAATGAATTTTCATCAGAACTCAAATGACACTGGGCCTGTGGTTATACTTCCAAGCTGTTAGAAGCAAGCACTGAGATGCTGTAAATCTCCATTTGTCTGACACACATTCACATCTGCTGCTTACGTATTTTTTTAAAATTCCATTTGTGCACGGAATTTTTCCCCCCAATCAGCAAGCAACATGGAAGCAATGGAAGTAGCCCCTCAGAATATTGCAAGCAAAAAATGTAAAGTTGTTGCAAAGAAAACGTCAACTTTGTGTTATATATATTTGGCTCTGATAAAATCGCTTCTTTCGGAGGTATGATAAACATGCTATTAACCAGGCCAGTTTTCACATTCATGTAGTTTAAAAGAGTTCTTAAGCATCATGTAAAAACACCCTTGTTACATGCAGTGGAGTAATTTACATGAAATGGGTGGCCTTTTCTTGCCTTGTTTCCTATGAAAAAGATAGTTGAGTAAGTGATTCTTAGAAAATTGTAATTTCCTGGGTTTTGCGTATACGTTTGTAATGGTTATGGGAAGAGGGAAAAAAAACATGCCACCAGCAAATGCATGTTTAGAGAAAAATCTACCCCAGTTCCAGTTTAAGTTTACTGTTTTACTTTCATAACAGCTCCACAGAAAGCTAGGCTGAACTAAATTGACTTACGGGTCTGTTTGATACCAAAAGGTAAAAGGAGTTATGTTTGCAATTCTGTCAAACTGAAATTAGCATAAGAATGAATTTTGTGGTAACAAGCAAAAATCATGGCACAGAATTCTCAAAATTCAGTTTAAACCAATTGAATGTTCCTGATAACCTAAAACTTAAGTGTAATATAAATTGAAATACTAGAAAGCTCATAATTTCATAAAATTTATTCAAATGTTCCTCTTTATTAAAAATAAAAATATGTAATGTATTTTCCCAATTAATGCAAAAAGTTTGCTCAAAAAAATCAAAGGTTATAAAGATTATAAATATTAGAAGTTTTGTTTCTAGGGGGTGTGCATTCTTATTGCTTTAAAGAATTAGAAAAAAATTAGAAATCTATAAATAGTTATTATTTGAAATGAAAAATGATAAAATGTTACATTTTCCTGAACACTATTGAGGTTGAAAAATGTAAAAACCTTTATATGAACTATTTGTATTATTTCTTCTGGGGACTACCTGTATAATAATCTTTTGTATAATATGTATATATAATACATCCTTTGCTAATTTTTCTATTGGGTTGTTTGCCTTTTAGTGAGTTGTAGAGACTCTGTATTTTAGTGGTCTCAATCCTTCCATTGTTATATACCACAAATATTCCCTCCTAGGTTTTGGTTATGGTATTTTCATTGCCTTTCTTTGTGTGTGTGTGTGTGTGTTACTATAGAATCTCACAAAACTGAAGATAAGACATACGAGTGGTAGGCTGCTTTATATCTCCGACAAAGCAAAAGAATTTTTTTTTTTTTTTTTTTTTTTTGCGGTACGTGGGCCTCTCACTGCCGCGGCCTCTCCCGTTGCGGAGCCCAGGCTCCGGAGGCGCAGGCTCAGCGGCCATGGCTCACGGGCCCAGCTGCTCCGCGGCATGTGGGATCTTCTCGGACCGGGGCATGAACACATTTCCCCTGCATCGGCAGGTGGACTCTCAACCACTGCGCCACCAGGGAAGCCCAAAGCAAAAGAATTTTAACTCCTGTCAGTGATCACATTAAACCTGAGAAATCTTCTAGAACTCAAATGCCCAGAAGTATAATCAGGCTTCAAAAAGGCTTCGGAGTCATTAGACTATAGCTCTACCATCCAACCTCCCACAACTCCCAGATTACATGTTTTTTTCCCTCTGCTCAGAGAAATCTCTGCTGTTCACTTATCCATTCATACAGAGACCCTCAGTGGTGCCTCAAAATGACACCCTCAGTCTCTGAACTGACAAGACTGCAATTTGGCTCTAGTCATCTAACTCTAATTTGATCCTAAAAAACAGACTTGGCATCATCTTACTAGAACTCATTAGGGTGGGAAGATGATAAACAGAGAGTTGAGCTGAAACAGAGAGTTGAGCTGTAGTTGGAGATGCCTCCCATTTTGTTCTTCCTGAAAAATTTCAGGAGCCTACAATGACTTTGGAAAATCAAAAATTGCCATTATTACATCTGTGCAATCTGGTGAGCCATACATCATTTAATTAGGAAGTTTATACTTGGATGTTTCCTTGAATAGTAAAATGTTGCTTTACTGATAGCCACAGGCAGGAAAACAACATAATTATTTAAAAATTAATATTAATCTTTTAACTTGGGGTGTTGCTAATAGAAAAATGATAGTAAAGTGACAGGAAAAGACTACTGAATTTAAGGGGAGGACTTGAGGCAGTGAACCCACATTGCCCTTTCAGAACCTCAGCTGTGCGTCAGTCTTTAATACTGTCTGAAAAGATGTGTTGAGAAAATGGCAATGTAGGTAATTTGCCTCCTGTAAGATTTTAATTGTTTTTAATAGCAAACTATTTAACGCACATTTTTGTCTCAAAAATCTTCACACCACTCCATCATAAAAAAAATTTTCATGGATTAAAATAGTTTTTCAAAATCTCTTTCAGAACTGACAATTTACATATGTTTCAGCTCAGTTTCATTTGAAAGAGCTGAGCTATTAAATCGCCTTCTCTCTAAGTGGTTTTTGCCCTAGTGAAAGGTGCATGACCATTTCTGCAATTATTCTGCATGGAATAGGGCTAAATTTTTGATAATTTCTCAGTGCTACTGCTTTATCGGTGAAGTGATTAAGTCTATTCTTGTCCCAAAGGCCGAGCTTAAGCAAGACATTTTCTGTACCATTACATTAAATTAAGACCTATTAAATCAGCAGCTAGTATAATATCTCAAGAGCAGTAGTCTCCCCACCACACGCACCAAGGAACAAAATGCAGAGGAAAATGCATGAAAACCCAGCAGTTCTGAGAGTTTGATAAATTGTAATGGGAAAAGCTGTGATGGGAAAAAGACCTTGTTTTAAATTTCACAAATTTAGTGCACATGCTTCTGGCTTGATTCAACATTCAAAAGGTGTTTAGTTGTACTTAGATAAACCATCAGAAGGTGCATTTGTTCATTCTCTGTTAAATTGTTCAGATTTGGAATTGATAAGGCATGCTGAAAAGGGAGCGTAAGACACTACATTTTCTTTCTGTGCCCATCAATTAAAACTTGAGCTTTCTAATACTGTTCTATTTAATCAGTAATCTTAAAATGAGAACCCTTTATCTTAAAAAAAAAAAAAATCAATTTAGTTCAGCCTCTTGATGTGTGTCAGAATGGTATACCCTCAGCTGCGGAGCCCCGGCTGCCAGGCCACTAAATGTAGTTGAGCGTTGACTAAGGGTGTCTAATAGCAGAGGAAACCTACCGCAAGGGACAGTCCAGAACAGTCATGAGACATAATACAGATAAGGAGGACACAGAGGGAAGAAATAAAAATTTAAATATCCACACACGTTAGTAAAAACCGTGGAGAAATGACCTTTCCAGACCTCTGACTTTGCAAGTTGATATTGCCCCTCTGTATTTTTAGTGCTTTTAAGTTGTAAGCCATTACAAAAGTCTTAAATATGTATCCTTTGCTGTATACAGATATTATGTATCATTACCATTTTGTTGTTATTGCAGAATATTTAAAAATTCTTCCTTGGTTATAAAATCTTATCATAGAGACATATAGTCATGAATATTGAAATTTGAATTTCTGTTAGTTCTTATATGGAGTGAAATGGTAAAACTTACTGATTTCTGTATTTACTATTTTTGAGATCTTGGTCATTTATCCATGTCATAACAGGGGTAATAAACACCGCTACTATTCTATAAATTAGTCTTACATCATACAGAACAAATTCCACAAAGAAAAATACAAATTTCTTGTCCTAGGAAGAAATGCTGTAGTAATCATTTAACATTATTTAGTGTTTTAAACTGTTAATTCTAGCAAACAAGAAAACCACATTTGAATTTTAATGTAGTTATGAAAATGATAGTATTATATTTCCAATGTTTCATAGACATAGCTGAAATTCACATACAAATTATTCAGTACATCCATGTCCATCTAGAAGGTTATTACAACTGTTATTAATCTCCCAAATATGTTGTCTAAAGAAATCTGTATCACGTCCTGCTGGTTACGGAAAATGCTGAAATAAAACAAGACGTGATTTAAAGCTTCAGTTTCTATGTAACAAATTAACTGAAAAGAAAAATCCTTATTAGACATCTGTGGTTGAACACTGGCACCTGGGCTTCTGTGGCTGTGATTAGAAACTTTGAGAAAGACATAACCCTTGATACTCTGAGCTCAGGATGAAGCTCTCTGAGTGTGAGTGCAGGCATAGCATTCATTCTACAGCTCTGAAACCAAGCAAATGTTCAAGTGAAAAAAGAGCCTATGTGAAATTGTTGTCAAGAGACATTACAGTGTCTTTGAGAAAAGTGTTTAAAACTCAGGCTAGGGAGAGAGATTAGTGTCCTGAGTGTGTGGATAACTACACAAATGTACTAAAAATATCTTCCTCAACTAAATTTTTCTTAAGGAGATTCACATATTTAAGAGTTCAATTAATAGTAATAGTATAAGAAGAATTTATAAAACTGCCTATATATGTTGCTATTAGGGAATAAATAGAAATTTTGAATTATTTGAAGGGAAGCACTGATAATTGAAAATGTTATTTCTCTGAAAAATCTTCACATTTACTTTTTTTTAATATAAATTTATTTATTTATTTATTGGCCGCATTGGGTTTCTCTAGTTTGGCTTTCTCTAGCTGTAGATAGAGGGATACTCTTTGTTGCAGTGCTCAGGATTCTTATTGTGGTAGCTTCTCTTGTTGCGGAGCATGGGCTCTAGGCACACAGGCTTCAGTAGTTGTGGCACACGGGCTCAGTAGTTGTGGCTTGTGGGCTCTAGAATGCAGTCTCAGTAGTTCTGGTGCACGGGGCTTAGTTGCTCCTCGGCATGTGGGATCTTCCCGGACCAGGGATCGAACCCGTGTCCCCTGCATTGGCAGGCAGATTCTTAACCACCGTGCCACCAGGGAAGTCCCTACATTTACTTTTTATATGAAATAAGTTGTTCCTTAGAAATATCCAATATGAATATGATTCCAGTAGAGAAATGAAGAGACATTTAATTGTTTTACCTATTAATAGTAGACTTTATTCTGAACCAAATCACCTAGTTCGTTTAGGAAAGATAGGTAACAGTGTAAAGGACACTCCGATTGCTTCCTTGGCCTTGGGAAGATAACTCAGCCAGATGGATTTTATAACCTGCATTATGGTTCTAATTGTCCCTAAGTGAAGAGTTTTGCCTTAAAATTCTACCCCATTCTTTAGAACCAGCTCATACTTCTCTCACTTGCCTTGTATAACTCATTATTCCTGAGCGCTCATAATTGAGCTGGATGTTTGTATAGGGATGGTTGCTTTCATCAAGTGTCATAAATAGCTATAAGACTCAGTATTTAATAGTCTTATGAACTGTTTAGTCACTGTTTAATATGAACAGTGATGATGACAAAAAGATGTCCCGCCCAAGAGGAAGAACAGATACTCTTTATTCTGTTTCTCTAACTCTAGGCACAATTAAGACAGGCTAAACAGATGTAATACAAATATTCAGGTATCATTCCAATACGCTGGGCCTACCAACTTGGCCTTGATGGTCATGGATGCCCGTTCCTGGTCTATGTGCTTAGGAGACTGGAAAACCCTAACCACACGTTTCCATTGTACTTTGGGATGTTGAGTCATGACTGAAAGGATTGCAAAGCACTTCTACAACTATGACAGGTGTCCAGATATTGTTTATTTCTATATTTATCTGGCATAAACTAATAAACTGTCTATTCTTAAATTTTTGATAAAATAAGAAGAAGCATGGAATGAATACATTACCTGATCTTTCATGGTCTTCCCTAAGTCTTTCACATCTTTCATGTTAATGGCATTCTTCCCTCCCTTTTCCTTTCCCTTCTTTTTGTTTTTCTTTTTGAACAAGCATTTCTTACAGATACAAAAGCAGCACGTCAGGACTAAAAGGACTGCGACTATGGCTATGGCAATTAAGGCCCACGGTGGCACTGAAAGAAAAAAAAAGCAGAGACTATTAGTAATAAAGCATTTACATCTGCAAAACCTTTAAATTCATGGGCTGTAAAGAAAGCTGTTCACTCATTCATTCGTATTTACTGAGCTCTAGGCACACTGTTCTGCATTGCTTTATCCATGTTGTTTCCCCAGCCTAGAGTGTTTCTATCTTTTCCCCCTCGCCCTTCCAGGCATGTCAAATGTCATCTCCTCCCTACAGCTTTCCCTGGCCCTCCAAGCTAGATTTTCAATGATCCACTCCTTCATTTCTTCAGAGCTTACCTCTGGCCTTTGAGTTCAAGCCCTGGCTCCACCATTTTCCTAGCTGTGTGACCTTGGGCAAGTTGCCTAACCTCTCTCTGTCTCAGTATCCTCATCTCTAAAGTGGAGGTAAATTGGTGGGTACCTGATAGTCTTTCTGAAGATTAAAATAAGATGCAGTACCTGGCACATAGCAAAAACTTAATATTAGCTGCTATTACTCACCTATCAAATACTATAGGTTCTATTAATATGCCCTGGGCACAGTGGAAGGGGTAGATATTAATCAAAACAACAGAAAGACAAATGTAAAGTCCTAAAAGTAGTGAAGATTAGGAAGTAGGACTTGGTGCTCTGAAAGTCGATCATGGGGAGATTTACCCATGCAGGGTCTCTGGAGGTAGGGCAGCGGTTATAAACCCAGGCTTAGATTCAGGCTTGGCCACTTACAGGCTTCGTAACTGGCCAGATTACGTGTGTTGAATTGCTGTTTCCCTCTCTATAAAATGAAGATAATAGTGGTACCCGTTTCATCTCTTTTCAAGGTTGAGTTAATAGACTAAAAATCTTAGAATGGCGTCTAGCACACAGCAAGAATTCAGTTAATATTAGCTTTTTAAAGAAATATTCAAGGCATAGGGCTAAGTACTGTGGGTGACACAGCTCAGAGTACCTGTGGGGGCATAAAAAATGCACATCAATAAATATATAAAAAGAAAGAGGTGAATACACTGAGAGGAGTTTGATGGATATGCTAAGAGATTGAGAGGAGGAAGAGAGAATTTTTAGATAAGAACGTAGACTTCAGATTCACAGGGTCTGTTTAATAAAGCATACACAAATAAAGACACTCAAGCATTTTTTTCTATGACATGTTGTCCAGCTACTAAAAGTAACTCTATTTTCTCATTTGGCATCCCCTACAGATGTGCTTATAAAAAAATCAGGTCTCATGGAAAGATGGAGGATTTCAGTTTGCCTAGAAAGTCATTCAACTATTGAGATTAATCACAAAAAGCAGTAATTAGATTTGCCTGTTGTAATCAAAAAAGACATTGGTTACTGAAATGGTAAGAAAAAGTGCTATTTTCTTCTAGCTACATAAACATCATTAGTATCAATGATTGCTGAACACAAGTAGGAGTACTTTGATGACGTAAGAACACCTAAAAGTGAACTTCAAAACTGAGAAAATCCGCTTTCTTGGCTCCTTTTGCATTTAGCTTCCTAGTGAAGACTTACTATGCATATTATTCTAGCTTACGAAAGATGACTAGATGTTACCCTAAGGACATATAAAACCATAACTGCTGAAATTGTGTTTTCAGCCAAAGAAAGATTTGTGTGAAAGTTACAGATAAGCCCATACCTAAAGACATGCTTTCTTATAGGTTTCTAATCTCATTAAACAATCATATTTTTAAAAGAATGTAAAGGGAGCTTATGTAACCAATGATAGCATTCACAATACTTCATTTAAAAGCTTCTACCTCTTTTGATCTAGTTAAAACCCTGCCATGCGTGAAGGAGAGAGCCTGTGTATTCACTGCGGGTGAGACAGTAGAATAATGACCCTTCATTTTGAACCTCGTAAATTATTCTCCTAGTCGGACTTGCGTGATAGTCTCTCAGAGAGCTACATAAAAGTCTCTTAAATTACGCAGGGCAAGACAGAGATCATTTGACAACTTCACAAAAAGAAAATAGACAGTGACAGCATAGGAACATTATTTAAAGGAGGTAAAGAGATAGGGACATAGGATTACAGGAAGAAATTTGAAATAGTGCAACTTGAAGGTGAATTATAATCACTGAAAAAAACCTTTATTTTTGACTTCTGTTTCTTATAGTGCTGCTGTCTTCTAGATTTGCTTTCAGCTGATCTTCTGAATAGCTTAATTTTAACTTTGAATATATGAAATAAGCAAAAATTTCCTCACAACTTACTGGTACCTTTAGATGGAATTTTAAAAAAGCCTTAATGCTATCATTTTGTGTACCCATATGAAAACTGGACTGAACAGTTAATTATAAACCACCATTTTAAATTAAATGCAGTTATTTAAATTGAATTTTCGTGCTAACAATCTTATTTTACTTCGTAGAGCAACTAAATTTTGTAAGTTTAGTCAGAAACACCATCCACAGTATTATTACTTTGTAGCATTTATAGAAATAAGTTCCAACATTAGTGAGCAAATCTCGTGAAATATATTTTGGATTACGCTAAAAACTTATTGAAGACCTACTTATTATGGGCCAGCAGCTGTGCTACGGCTTTACATACATTAAATCTCATGTAATCTTCACAGAAGTTTTGTTCATTATCCCTTCAATTTTATAAAGGAAAAACTACAGATTGAATAGTGGGAGAAACTGAAATATATTTTTACATTATTAGGTTAAAAATATGCATATTATTACTACATGTATACAAAGGAAAAATCCTTGTGGGGCTGTGAAGCCTATTGAATAGGACATTTTACTTTTGAAAAAAAAAATGGAGAAAATAACAGCAAAAGATGCTGCTAAGAGCGATTTCTTTATTTATTTAAATATAAAATATAGTTTCAATCAAAAATAGGCTCATCAAAATATTGCTACTGGCAGAAAGCTATCAGTTTATTGTTATTGCTACCCAACTATCATTAAATGGAATTTTATAACATGAATTTTAGCATTTAACTTAAGGACCTTTCAACAGAAAATAATAGACTAATGTAAAAGCTCTCCATTAAAAATGTTATTTTCATCTTCTAGTTAATGAATTAATCTCACATATCATTTAACCTGAAGGTAAACCGATGCATAAGAATTAAGTCAAAGTCAATTCTGCTTCTGATGTTTTAACTTAGATTTTGTGGTACACAGAATAATGAGTCCTCAAAAATGTCCACATTGTGATCCCTGGAACCTGTGACTATGTTACCTTACATAGCAGAAAGGACTTTACAAATGTGATTAAGGATCTTGAGATGGCGAGTTTATCCTAGGTTATCCAGATGAACCCAGTGTATTCACTATGGTCCTTCTCAGTGAAAGAGGCAGGCAGGAGTTTCAGAATCAGAGAGAGCTGAGGATTCTGTGCTGCTGGTTTTGAAGATGGAGGAAGGGACCATGAACCAAGGAAGGTAGGTGACCTTTAGAAGCTGGAAAACGCAAGGAAAGGGATTCTCTCCTACAGCTTCAAAAGAATTAGTTCACATAGTCATATTAGTTCACATAGTCATTTTATATATATATATATATATATATATATATAAACTATGGAGGTTTCTCAAAAAAATTAAAAGTAGAACTACCATGTGGTCCAGCAATCCCATTCTGTGTATTTATTGAAAGAAACAAAAAATCACTCTCTTGAAGAGATATCTGCACCACCATGTTCACTGCAGCTTTATTCACAGTAGTCAAGATATACAAGTAACCTAAGTGTCCATCAATGGATAAATGGATAAAGAAAATAAATGGATAAAGAAAATAGAATATTATTCATCCATAAAAAAGATTCCTTCTGTCATTTGAGACAACATGGATGGCCCTTGAGGGCATCAGGCTAAATGAGAAGTTAGAGACATAAGTCATATAGACAAATACTCTGTGATGTCAGTTAAATGTGGAACCTAAAAAGTTGAAACTCATAGAAACAAAGAGTAGAACGGTGGTTACCTGGGGCTGGGGGTGGGTAGGGGAAATGGGGAGATGTTGGTCAAAGGGTACAAACTTTCAATTATGAGATGAATAAGTTGTGGGTGTCTGATGTACAGCATGGTGACTGTAGTTAACAATACTGTATTGTCTACTTAAAATTTGCTTAGAGAGATCTTAACTGTTCTTACCACATACACACACAAAATGGTAATTATGTGAGGTGATGGGTATGTTAAATGACCTTATTATTGTAATCATTTCACAATATATACGTATATCAAATCATCATGTTGTACAACTTATACAATGTTATTTGTTAATTACCTATCACTAAAGTTGGGAAGAAAGAAGGAATCAGCCCTGCTGACAATGTGATTTTAGCTCAATTAAACACATTTTGGACTTCTGACCTCCAAATAATAAACTTGTGTAGTTTTAAGCCAGTGATTTTGTAGTAAGTAATTATAGCAGCAATAGGAAACTCAACAGAGATAAAGCAGACCTCAAGAGATTTATAACATATGCTGCATATAGATGACCATGCAATTGGAATATTAATGTGCGCTACCTCTGTATATGTGGTGATCTTTTCTTCTTATTCACCGTTTTTATCTATGCCTTCTGCAACCTTTTTTTTTTTTTTTTTTTTTTCCGGTACGCAGGCCTCTCACTGCTGTGGCCTCTCCCGTTGTGGAGCACAGGCTCCGGACGCGCAGGCTCAGCGGCCATGGCCCACGGTCCCAGCCGCTCCGCGGCATGTGGGATCCTCCCGGACCGGGGCACGAACCCGTGTCCCCTGCATCGGCAGGCAGACCCTCAACCACTAGCGCCACCAGGGAAGCCCCCTTCTGCAACCATTTTCATGATACTAACAGTGCACTCAAGATTCTCTCACAGATAACCAATGATTTTCTTCTGGCTAAACCCAAACTACATTGTCAGTGGTATGAAAAGTCTCGGTCATGTATTCCTTCTTGAAAATTTCTTCCGCTTTTGTTTCTACTACCCTTACCAGCACCTCCTTCTGTGGCTCGGACATTTTCTTCTCTTTCCTTTCCCAATCCCAAGTGTTAGATGGAGT